TGGCGTCATGACTTCTTCCTCGTCGAGTGGTTGTTCCTCCTCCTTCAAGGAAGAAGCAGAGAAGCTCTGTGCCAACACAGGGCTGGGACGACCTCCCTATAACGGCCGACGACGGGAAAAATTTGGGGTCTCGAAGCATGCAGTGGGTTGTATGTCATGAAACAATATCATGACTACAAGATGACTAGTGACCGATCCGTAGCTGAGCAGTCTCATGAGACACAATCAGCTGCCAAGGAACTTGAGCATTTCAATTATGTGCTATCATACAAGTTTATTATCGGAGGCATTCTTGCCAAGCTTTCACGCTCATGGAGGAATTTTGCTACTTCTCCAAAACATAGAGACAAGAATTTTCTGTTGTCAATTTAATTGATACTCTTGATGTGGAAGAGAAGGTGAGGGCAAGCGACACACATGCTTGTTTTCATGAGGGGAGTTCTAATGCCAACTTGGTGTACGTGGAGAACTTCTAGTCCCACAAATTTAAAAACAAGAACTGTGAGGGAAAAGAGAAGTTTGCGGGCAAGAACAAGGCCTCGCAGTCTGCCAACTTCAAGAAAAAGGAGACCTTTAGGAAGAAAGAAAAAAAGGCATATATACGGTAAAGATGGACACTGGAAAAATGATTGCATGGATCACTTTGACATGTGTCAGCATGTGAATGGCGTTGAGACCATTAATGTTGTTAGATGGAAGGAGTGCACATGATTGGGCGTGCCAAAAAAATCGAAGTTGATTTAGACGGAAGCCAACGTCTCGGTCAACGCTTATATTTTGGCTTGACAGGTGTGTGTTGCGATCCAAACGGCCCCTTAGTCCCACACAAGTTGTGAAAGATGTTTTCGACCAAAATATAAGATTGATTGTCTCACACATCACTAAGAGGTTGAGAAGTTGTCTTGCAACGCCTCGCACGCGCATCATGTTTAGTGAACCGGACGGGCCGGTCCAGGACCTTTGCACGTGTGCATGCTGGATTCCTTTTTCATACAAGTAAGAAGCCGAAACATTTTTCCGCTAGTGGAAAACAAAACCAAACTGTTGTGACTGTTTCCATTCGTCTCCTCATTAGTATTTTTGTTCAGCTTCCACTCATGGAGTCTATATTAGAGGTTGCTCCTCTTTCGTAGATACATGTCACCTCATCTCTCCCAATATGACCACCTCCTAGTTTTCAGGCTTTGTATTGCTTACCGCTTTTCCATCTTGCTCCCCAGCGTACACTACAAACTCAAATAGCAAGTCTTGTGATCTTGTGCAGGAGAGGGACAATCAGGTTTTTTGAGAGCGCTCTCGCACAATTGTTGAATCTTTTTTTATAGTGGCTGAACGCCGACGACCACCTCGACAACATGTTGCTTGCACATGGTGCTGAGACTGGGAACACCTCTTATTCCATTGCTTCATACGTGATCTTATCCTCTTAGTTAGGGATTATATCGGACTGCGTATTAGCAGTCAACATGGATATGCTTGTCCTTTATGTACACGATTGCATGACTAGTTACATCACTATGATGTTTGATTCAATCATTAGGATGCGACGATTTGGCTCCGGGGCTCATCTGTCCCATGGATGAACACTAAAATTGAAAAGAGTAGCAAATAAACAAAACAAATGATTTTTTTTTGGCATGCCAGATGCTCGAATGTGTGATGTTTCTGTCAAATTTGGTGTTGTTTCGACATTTGAGTAGCTCTCGGAAAAACAAAACTCAGGCTTGTGAGAAAGTTAGAAAAAACACATTGTTCAGAGCTCTTTTTTTTGCCACGAGCTCGTCGAATATCGAAAGACCACCAAAATTGGCATGGGCATCACGAAGTCAAACATCTTGCATGCAATTTCTTTCCAGAAATTTTCTACTACTATTTTCTTGATTTCTACTATTCACTGGGAGCAGATGAGCCCAGACTCACATAGCAATCAACGCAATCATCATCTCTATTAAATTATCATGTTCTATTTATTGCTTTTCTGAATTAAACTTCTTGAAAAATTGCTCAAATATTGAACACACCTGGAAGCACTAGTACGAGGTAGAAATAGCAAGGGAAGCGTAGGATAGGGGGAAAGCAGCACCGTGTCTCGCTCGGATTCGTCCTAGACGTACGACGGTTTCTTCTTTGAGGTCGAGCGGCATCAGGATCAGGATGCACCTGTCGCACCTTTACTAGAAGAGTTGGGCGCGCTTTGTTGCATTGTTATTGTTGTTGGATTTCTTAAAAAGTACTCACTCTGATTCAAAATATAAGGTGTATTACTTTTTTAAAAATAAATTATTTTAAAGTTTGATCAAATTTGTATACAAATATATTAAAATCATAATATCAAATCAGTATAATTAGATTCATCATGTAATGAATTTCCATATTTTTTTAATATTGTCAATCTTGATATTTTTGGCTCTGAACTTGATCAAAGTTAAAGGAATTTGACTCTCCAAAAAACTAACGCCCTTATATTTTGGAATTGATGGAATATTTAGTTTGACAGGACGGTAAGATGATGAATTGTGCTTTATTTTTTTATAATATGATGATTTGGTGGGCCTTTCTGGATATGATTATGTGTTATCAGCTAATAAACACATATTTAAGTGGGGAAATTTCTATCTCCGTAGTTGTATGTACTATATTGATGCTACAATATCACATGGTGGCGTTTCTTTTTCCTAGGTGGTGGAAGGGTGCGCAGGATTGATATGTATTTATAGGCCAGTTGCTATAACTTGAATTGAAAAATCATTGGCCCGATCAAAATTGTAAATCAAATCCAAAATTGAATACCTCAGTCGAATCGAAGAGCATAAATTAGAGAATATAGTAAATTAAAATAATTAAATGAGAGAGCTCCTTGAGAAATTGTTGACCCGGTGAACATCATAAATCAAATCCAAATTGAACACCTTTCGAATTGAAGCTTTAAAATTAGGAAACATAGTAAAGTAAAATAATTAAATGAGAGAGCTCGTTGAGAAATTGTTGAGCCGGTCAAAATTGAGTGACTCAATTTTAATTGAAGATCTCAGTTAATTGTGAGGACTTAAAAATTAGAAAGCATAGTGTATAGTATAAAACAGTTGAATGAGATAGCTTTGAGAAATTGTTGTCCCGACCAAAATCAGGTGACCTAATTTCAATTGGAGACCTCAATTGATTGTAAGCTCTTCAAACTTAGGGAGCTTAGTGTTATAAACTAGAAGGGTTGGGCACTCTATTGCGCCATTGGTGTTGTTGGATTTCATAAAAAAAATCACTCACTGTTGTAAAATATAAGGTGTATTGCTTTTTTGAAAAGTAAAACCTGTTAAGTTTGATCAAATTTATAGAAAAATTATGGTTAGATCCATCATGAAATGAGTTTCCATACTTCTTTTGTTTAATATCGTGGATGTCGATATTTTTTGCTATGAACTTGGTCAAAGTAAACAAATTCAATATCTTTTGCTATGAACTTGGTCAAAGTTGAAGAATTTTGATTTTTCAAAAAACTAATACCCCTTATATTTTGGAACTGATGGAATATTTAGTTTGGCAGGTGGGGTAGATGATAGACTGTGTTTTAATTTTGTTTATAATGCGGCGATCTGATGGGATTTTTGTGATGTGGTTATATCTGTGTTATCCGCTAACCAACATATATTTATGTGAAGAAATTTCTGCGTCGATGGCAGCATGTACTATGTTGGTGCTACAGTATCACATGGTGGCCCTTCTTTTTCTAGGTGGTAGGAGGTTGTGCGGCATTGATATGTTTCATAAGCCGGTTGCTGCTAATTGATTTGAAAATAGTTGGCCCGATCAAAATCGTAAACCAAATACAAAATTAAATACCTCAATAGAATGAAAGAGTTTCAAAATTAGGGAACTAAAAGAATTGAATGGAAGAGCTCTTTGAGAAATTTGTTGACCTGGTTAAAATCAGGTGACACAATTCTAAATTGAAGACCTCAATTGATTTTAAGACCTTATAAATTAGGAAGCATAGTGTGTATAGTACAAAATAATTTGAATAAAAAAACTTTGAAAAAAATTGTTGATCCAATTTCAATTGAGACCTGAATTGAATGTGGGATCTTTAAAATTAAGGAACTTAGTGTTATAGAGGATAATGGGCTCACCACGTAGCAGGAGCATCCATTGACGATTATTGGTTTCGTCAACGGATACGTGCTTCCATAGCCCTGATGCACCCTTCGTCGGCCACGGCAGCAGATACGTGCTTCGTTCTTTACACCCTAATTCTGCTCAGGTGAATACGTGCAGATGGGCAGTTGCTGCATCGGTAGTTGCTGTGAGCTCCAGTACGTACTCCATACTCCATAGCTATTGGTTTCGACACACAAGTGTCAGCACCACAAAACACACAATGTTGTGTAACTTATTTACGAACTAAAACCACGACGCTCATTTTGGATCCGAGGGGGTATACTATAGTGTCTTTAACAACATAATAAAATTTTAGACAGGCAAGCACGCCATTCTTTGTTACTTACAACGGTGAACGCAAGCATAATTTTGGCGATCACAAGGAGCAACTGCAAATTCTGAACCCGGCATGAAAATGCCTCGAGTGTATCACCATATATAGCTTCCGAATCAACAAACAGAAATACCTCATCTGTATGATCTGTCACGCAGCTGAATAATACCGCCCCGTGGGTGAGGATCAGTAAAATGCATTGCATTCCACATCTCAGAATCATATTAGGTGCATCTGATAGGTACTTTTACAAGCCAAAATGGCCAGAAACAATATTCAGCCAGGGTACTTCCACATCTCAGTCTCCTCAAGAAAGAGTGCAACATGCTAGTAAAACATGTCGATGTGATAAGTAAACTAATAAGTAAACATGTCGATGTGATAAGTAAGCTAACATGTCGATGAATGACCTTCATGGCCTCATTCTTACCTTCTTACCTTCATGGCCTCATTCTTACCTTCTTACCTTCATGGCCTCATTCTTACCTTCTTACCTTCCCAGTTCACCGCAAAATCATGCCATAACTCGAGAAGCGATCCAGCACTTGTCATGCCTCAACACACAGAAGGGATCCTCCACTGACAAGTCAATGGCGTTCTGAAAGGTCCAGCAAGGGGAGGCAACGCAAACGTAAATAATATTACCGCCCCTGCTTCCACCTGATGGCGCATTGCCCTCACCAACGGATCCCGACACCGGACCTCCCTCCTTTACCACATCATTACTGCCACCACTTCCACCTGAAGACACATTGCCCTCACCAGCAGAACCTGACATAGGGCCTCCCTCCATTACCACATCATCACTGCCACTGCTTCCACCTGTTGGTGCATTGCCCTCAACAGAAGAACCTGACATAGGGCCTCCCTCCACTACCACATCATCACTGTCAGCACAATCAAGGCCCAGCGTCTTAAGCACCTTCCCCTTCTTCAAGATATAACAAAGAAACAAGTACTCACAATCCAGACCCTGGTATCTATGGAAGACGAATGTCTTCAGATGAGATTCAAGGCAATCGCAAGAGCCAAGGGACTTCCAGAACTCAGCACAATCAACACTATCAGGTGAACTGGGTTGAATGGACTGGATAGAAAAAAAAAAACAATGTTAGAGTTTAGCATATCAATCTTCAAATTACACCAAAAATACAACTAGAAGTGCTAGAACAGATATCTACAACATCAATCTGGAATATATAACCATGAACAACTAGCACTTGAATAAGCTGATATCCACATTATGATTTTGAATCACAATAGATAAACAAGTATAGGGACGAACAGATATCGATATGATGCGGGTACTACCATGACGTGAAGCGTCTCAAGGCGAGGAAAGCATCTGAGCAGAGTGTCCAGCATCTTGACCTCCATGTCGTGCGAAAACCGCACCTTGACAGCCAGCATCTTCAAACTTGGCAGCATGGCCCTAGCTCTCACATTCATACCAGCCTGCCATTGAGGCAAATTAAACACCATGAGAAATTTGATTGGATGCACAGTCATGTAATGAGTGTTAAGTGCAGGTCACAGAAGTAACAAGACCCAGTTAACCTGATGACAACGCCACCAATCTCGAGCGCGTGGACCTGGCGGTCCAAGAAGCCGAGCACCTCCAGCCTAGGCGCATTGACAATCCTAACAGGCCTCCGATCGGAAATGCTATGGAAGAGCAGGCGCTCCAGGCAAGGTGCATCCTCGACGATGATTTCATTGAAACCACATCTCCATTCCATCATGACGCGGAGGCTGCTGGACCTGATACGGAGGCGTGAACGGCAGCTGTACGCCATGGCAAAGGAGAGGATTCTCAGCTTGAAGCAGTGCGCGAGCAAGGCATCGACATCCCGGTCCTCGATGATGGAGTGAAAAAGGCCGAGCTCATGGAGGTTGGGAAATGCGGGCTGGTGGGCGGTAGTGTCTGGGAAGCGCCAGAAGCCGATGTAGAGGCGGGTGAGAGAGCCACAGCTGAGGATGTCATCGGGGAGCGGCATGTCGAGCGGCCAGGGTCGGTTGAAGAGGATGAGGTCCTGGACGTTCTTGGCGGCGAGGCTGGCGACCAGGCGCTCCAGCGCGTACTCCTGCCGGTGGAAGGAGGTGCGGGTGACGCGCACGGCACGGACGGGGCCGGGGTGAGCGGCCACGCAGCGCGAGAGGGCACGCACGGCGTGCCTGTCGGCGGCCCTGATGTGGGCGTCGTGGACGAGGAGCGGGGTCGCCGCCCAGACGCCGCGCCAGCGGGTCGAGAGGACCATGGTGCGCGCGGCTTCGTTGGTGGGGAGGCAGGAGACGATGTTGGAGAGCAGGTCGTCCGGGAGACGGCTGATGTGGTCCTGGCCGTCACCATCCTGTGCCGCCGGAACGACAGCGGGCCCGTCGGCGGGGGCGGCGGTGTCGTCGTCGGAGGAGGTGAGGGAGAAGTGGTAGTCGTCGGAGTCGGAGGACTCGTCGGCGTCGGCGTCGGGCGTGGGGACGAAGGGAGGGAGATGAGGTAGGGGACGATGCGATCGATGCGATGCTGCGCGGACGGCCCCTCCAGTGCCAGAAGGATGAAGTACGGCCCGATTTGGGCGTAGGTAACAAACACTTCTTCTCCTCCCCCTCCGGCGGCGTCCATGGCGGCGGATCCCGGCTAGGGTTTTGTCGGCGGGCACGAGGCGAGCAGGCTGAAGGAATGGGGATTGGCGTGGGGTGCCGTGGACCGTGGTGGACTGGTGATAGTTGGGCTCTGTGGCTTGACTAGTGTTGTGAGTTGTGAAGTGTGAGCTTGTGGACCAAAATTTAAAATTCAAATACATTCCATATATTGCAGATCAATCAAACAGATAAATTCAGCTGTGAACAGTTGTGACACAACTACTATTGACAGGTGAATTGATTTTTTTCTTGTGTATGTCAAAGTCAGATTCATGATTCTTAGGGGTTTATAATAGTCTACCCGTCGCGCCACTTTGCGAACTAGAGGCCGCACTATAAAAAGCCACACTATAGAAAGGGAGTTTTTATTATGTTTGAGATGATTTATACTTCCGGTGAATTTTTATAATATATCTGTTCATTTTCAGAAATGAAGGAAGGGAGACGTCAAGAATAATTTTCTCGCCACTCTATATCCAACTTTTCGTTCAAATCACCTGCAGGACAAGTCCTGAAAAAACCAATCGGTGCTTACACTAAGGCGAACGCTAGGCGTCGGCGCACCGGCCGAAAGTTTCGGCCGGTCCCGCCCCAGCCGTTTGATGCGAGCCGCTTGGCCAATGGATCTGGGCAAAAAAAAAGAAAAATGATTCGCTCACGTCTTCTTCTTCTTCCTCGGGCTGGATCAGCAACTCCCACTCGGGATCCTCGACGCCGCGCCTGCAGTCCCCTCCGATGGCCGTCCTTGTGGTCTGTCCCCACCCTCGCTGGCCGTCCTCGTGGTCGGTCCCCACCCTCGCCGCCCGTTCCCGACGTTGAATGGATGTAGTCAAAAACTACCTCAATCCATGCAACAGCTGCGCCTGCGGTTGCAGCTCCACCGGCGACGGTTATAGCGCCCCTCCGGATGTAGCTCCGTCGCCGCCCCTCGCCGCTCGCTGCATGGAATTGCGTCGGTGACGACCACCAGTCAGTCAACGCCACTGAATGGATGTAGCAAAAAAATTCACCGGTAGTAGCAAAATAAACTACAGATGCAGCAAAACTCAAACACTGTCGCCGTCTTCGCGAGGTCGCAGCTCCGCCTTTACATGGATGTAGCAAAAAACTTCAGCGGTAGTAGAAAAATCTACTACGGTTGCAGCAAAAATCGTCGTTGTCATCGTCGCGAGGTCGCAGCTCCGCCTGATGAATGTAGCAAAAAACGTCGCTAGTAGTAACAAAATCCAACTATGGTTGCAGCTTCTCTTTGCTGCGCAGTTCCATTGAAGCTTTTCTGTCTATGGTTGAAACTTTTTTCAACAGCTGTTGAAGCTGTTCTAGGTGACAGTTGCAACACTAGTATACACGAGTGCATCCAGCCATGGCGGCAGGCAGCCATGGCGGCCGACGAGGGAGTGCCTGGACGCCGGCAATGGATGGTCGTGGTCGGCCAGTCATAGCCCGGGGGGGAGGGGGAGGGGATGCACCCGCGTGAAGGCTAGAGGTAGGGGATGGATCTGGCCGTGGCGGCAGGCAGCCATGCCGGCCGACAAGGTGAGCCTGTCCGCCGGCGATGAAGGTCGTGGTGGCCCAGTCGTAGCCCGAGAGGAGGGGGAGGGGATCCACGTCCGTGAAGACTGGAGGTAGACGCGAGAGAACGAGCGTGATGGGGATACCGGCGGAATTTTCAGCCGGTGCGCCGGCTTTAAACGTTTCCCTTACACTAATATATAAATTTGTAGCCCCACCGGGTATCTCCTTTTGTGTAGTGCAACCAAAATATAACCCTACCTAGTATTAAAAAAAATGGCAAGACTATCTTACCTAAGTACAGTCCATTGCAAATGCAATAGATCTAATGTGGGCATATGTGGCCAATAATTGGCGCGATTCATTTCGTACCCACCAATGGCTGGTCTTCTTTTGTGGTGACATTCGCTATATAATCTACTACTGACTTCGCATTCATTTTGTGCAGTGCAAATAAAATCGATCCACATATGAAGAACATGGTTAACTTATTTGAAATCGAATGCAAGCAAACTTTATGAAATAAGCAATTAGTTAACCTTAAACTCGACTTAGTCCATGATGTGATTAGGAGTAGGACAATAGCACTCGGAACTTTTCCAGGTCATGTTCACCATTTACGATGCTTGCGGAGAAGAAGAAAAAATTGGCAACTCTCTTGACTTGTTCGAGAAACGGGTGGTCGCGGCAAACCTAACAACTATGTTGGCTTCGTTGATGGTTGTGATCCTACAAAAGTCCTCTTCACGAAACCTCAATTCCATAACCAAGTTTTTTTATGCACTGCAACTAAAACTTATATCTATTTCAAGAAAATAGTTATTATCTACTTTTCAGCTAATGTAGAGGTATATAGAACGTACAAACCTCAGATAACAAAATGAACCATAATTTTTTACATCAAAGGCACAACTGCTATGGCTAGCACGAGTTAAATAAATCAAGTTATTCTTCAACGCATATTAGCCAAAGCTAACCATGCACTAGTTATGTGTAAGGGTAGCAAGTTTCATCATCATTCTAGTGCCTGGCCCAACACCATTAGAATAGTTTGACTTAACTCTAAATTTTTAATAGATTTCTATAAACACTAGCTAACCCTACAAAAACCCATAAGGATTCAACATCTAACCCTACAAAATTGCATCGATATGAAGGTTGGTCACACAGAAAAGCCTGAAATTGCTATATTGTAAGAAGCAATGGAGCTCACTACCATGGTCATCGCCCCAACCGAAGAACAAGGCAACACATACCAACTCTATGACCAAGCATGATGGTGCAAGAGACCCGATGTCCGACTAAAAGGCAGGCTGCATGGAACCAGAAATTGTCGAACAGAGGTGACGCCTCACGGACGTCGAGGCGATGCACGGAAAGAAAGCGCCGCTCGGGACGATATGGGAGCGACTACGTAGGGATGGTGCATCCCCGACGAGTGTTTGCGGGCGCGTCGGATAGGGCACCATCGGAACGGATCAATGGTTGTATACAATGAAAACTAAGCAGACAGGGGCGCATCGACGCTAGCAAGAGTTGGGAATTGAGGATGTGCAATGGACTATAAGAGGCAGCGAACACTGAAAGGATCGTAGGATCTTTGGTCTAGTTGGTTCAATTGATATCCTTTGATTGCTTGCTTCAATTGGTATCTTTTGATTGCTTGATTGCTTGTGTCTCTCTTTGTTATGTCCTTGTGGCATATCATTCTTTAGCAATCTTTTTGCCTCAATATAGTTTGTGTTCCTCCAAGTATTTACCTTTGGCTATGTGTATGACATTCCACTATATTGTTGAGAAATACAAAATTTATGGAGGAACACTTTTATATTGGCCTTCTAAGCTTTTCGCCCATTTTTGCAATCGATGCCAATGGGGGAGAAGTTTCAGAGAGTTTTGTGGAGAAGGTTTTCAGAGTCTTCGTTTCAAAGAGTTTTGCGGAGAAGGTTTTTTAGAGTCTTCTCCTTGCTTTGGTTTTGTTCCTAAGCATTTGCATCTCATTCTCCTGCATCATTGGTTGTTGCATTGCATGGTGATGCATAATTCCTTATATAAACTCTCTTGAAAGTGATTGTCATCAATTACCAAAATGGGGGAGATTGAAAGGACATGCGGTGCCTCCATGTGTGGTTTTGGTAATTGATGACATTCTCTATGGACTAATGGTTGCATTGAGTTATATTTGAAGGATTTGTCCATAGGCATTTCTTGAAGTACATGTGTTGGTTTCAAGGAGTTTATGAGTTGACCAAGGTGGTATTAAGGAATTATCCAAAGATTGGTCATAGAGTTGGAAAGAGTCAAGGTCGATCAAGACTAAGTACAGAGAGTGATTCAAGTTGATCATCACACAAAGCGTAGAAGATACACCGAGTGGGATCAAGTGATCTCATGGTATGATAAGAATTGTCCATTGTGCTTTGTGTACTAACCCATTATCCATGTGAGAGTTCTATGTGGGGTTAGGTACGTGTTCATGGGCTTGCGTCAAGAGGAAGATATCACTCAACCAATGGAGAGGATCGGATGACATCAATTGGTGATCGTCATCAAGAATTCCATGCGCAAGTTCAAGTGGAGCATCACGAAGAGATCAAGTGCTTGATGCTTTCCGTCCATTGTGGTGTCAATGGACTTGTGAAGA